AAAAATCAATGTAGACATTCACTTGGCTTCAATTTTTTAATGATTTATGCCGAAGCTCTTGCATGAGTTTCTTGTTTCCCATGGAAAGAGTTTGTGAGGAAAACTTGTGTTTCCAGCCAAATGTAATCTCCTGATGGTTTTCCTCTCCCTTCAGTGAGTTCACCTGGTTTACAATGTGGTTTCTCAAGCCTGGATCTCCTGTAAGTACACTGTTTGAGAATCCTCAGGACTTTAATATCACATTTGGATTGAATGGTTTCTCTCTCCCTGAGTGCAATGGCAGCCAATTAACAACACTGGACAAACACACTCTTCAACTTCATGCCGTCTTCAAGCTGTCCAGGGCTTTTCTGCTGACCTCACGTATTCACACAGTGCTCTTTGTGCTGCTGCACGGCTCTTATTCTACAAAATATCAAATGTGAGGAGCTGGCAGACCGGTTCTACCTGCGAACTATCTTCTCCTCTCATTACAGTCTTGCACCTTTTAGGCCTTCCTGTCTCATCTCAGAGAGGTTGAGGTTGTCTCTTCATTTTTTGATGGTCTTTTCTCAATTCTTTTTGTCCCTCGTTACAGTCTTGCACCCTTTGAACTCTCCTCGTGCTGTTTCTTTGGTCTTCTCTCCTCTGATCCTCTCTCTACGTCTCATCTTGTCTCCATTTTCGTCCACAGATTCATCAGATTGCCCTGAAGCCATTCCCTGTATATTCACTGTCCTCTACTCCTGTATGTCTGGAAGCAGAGTCCTTTCCCTCCTTTAAGGAGGTTTGGATTCAAAGGGGAGGAGACGAACTGAACCGTCCATGCAAAGCTCAGACCTGACCTGTACTTCATAGCAGAGACTACGACAGGGCCAAAATAGCCCCTCCCCTCCGTCCCCTAAGGTTAGTGCTAAAAAGCTGCTAAGCTCTTAGCTGTGTAATCGTCTGTTGTGGCTGTTCCCAGCCTTCTGCCCTCATTCCTGCTGTTCACACCGCCGTGTTTTTGTGGACATTTGAACGGCTGCGCTCGGTACAAAAAGCTCCACAAAAGCTGTGGGCGAATCACTCTCAGTCTAGAAGGTCTTCCAGTTCATTGGCGGAAAAGATTAAATGCAGAGAGATTCTTTTAATCTTTTTGAAAAAAGAATAAAAACATGAATTTTGTTCTAAATCTAAACCTTCAGGCCAAAATTAACAACTCAAACAATGAAACGAGTACAGTAAATGAGCATTTAAATGAGCTCTAGAAGTTTTTAATTTAACAAAGATTAGACATGTCAACAGTAGCAAATTATGACTTCATTAAAGGGCCTGTATTAGATCCTCACAGTCAGATGCCACATAGGGACCACAAACTGTAAAACACAAAACTGTGACAACAAGTCACTTCTTTAACCTGAAAAGCTCCAATCTTGATTGCCTGGGTTTATGCAATTTGCGAGAGTTAGGGTATACTGGTTTTCATCTTCTGCTTTGCTTATAATCAGTACTTTATATACTTTAGGATGGACAACAATTGAGATTACATAATCTATGCATATTAAAACGTTTGGCTACATGATAATGAATAATAGTGTTATTTTAGCGTATTACACTAAACTAGTCTACTATAGTATTTATTAATTGAGTTTTTAAATTGAGTTATGAAATTTTTTTTTTTAGTTTTCCTTTTAATTTTAAGTAATTTTGTATGTGTATGTATTTTGTAATTTTTAAGTAATTTTGTTATGTGCTTTTGTCATATTTATTAGTTTTTGTTGTTTATATATTTAGATATAGATTGAATTTATTTCAGTTTTAGTAATTTTAGTGCTTCAACAAACTAATTTTATTGAAGTTGCCAAGGCAACATTTCTAATTATCATTTAAGATTAAGTTAAAAATGTTAATCTAATATTTGTCATTTATTTTATTTCAGCTTAATTTCAATTACCAAAAAAAAGTTCTGCTTCATATATTTAAAAAATTAACATTTATTATTAAATATCCAATATTCTGTTTTTTTTTTCTGATGCAATTCCTGATGCTGAATGTCACATCTATATTGGACAAGGTGATATTTGGCATTATTTTTAAATAAAGCTTGCATTATTGGTACCACAGGTCACAAGTGAGTTGATAGAGTTCCTTGTTTAGACAAGGTGAACTTTTTAACGAATATGTGATCTCTCTTGGATCACACTGGAAGTATCAGCTTCAGACAGTCAATACTCCATTAACTACAAAGACGACACTTATATGTCATTGCTGAAAGCTGATAAAGTCTTTGACAGAAGTGTGATCACACTGCAAAATAACAAGTCAAAATCTAATTACGTCTTAAAGTGAATATAAACAACGCCTGCGACCTAATGAATTATCAACCTCGCGCAGCTGCACACACATGCTCAAATCAATTCTAAGACGGAGTTGTCGAAGGTCAAGGAGAAGAGTCTGGAACACACATGCAGTGCAACTGGGTGGTCGTGAAACACCACAGAACCACTACAGTGGGATTTTGTACACTGTTTGGTTCAATGACCTTTGACCTATGGGGTAAATCAGCTGACTGTGGTAGGGAATGTCACTTTCACAACTACAAATGTGAACAAAAGATACATTACTGAGGAATCTCAATTCTTTTGGCTCAACATATGCAAACAATGAGATATGAATGGCTTTGTGCACAGAAATACCACACATGGTTGAAACAAAGTGTCCATTTGTCAAAATTCAATGAACTAATTGAGTTCACAGAGAAATGTTTAAAGGTTAAGACGGTGTAAGACAGAGATTACAAACCAAGCAAAACAAAAATGCTGACCCTGGATATTACAAATGACTATGTAAAGTAACTTTTGAGTAATTAAACCTTTGGTTTATGAAACTTGGTGTTTACAAGAACAAAATACTTCAAGAAAAGCCAAACCCAGCAGATAAAGTTGATGCAACAACAAGTTGTAAAATCTACAACATGCCTCCAAGTTTAATGTCAGTCTGTATCACATAGCTTGGTGCCCTCAAAACTGAGGCTGGACTACATGTGCTTCTTACTGTGAATGGTTGATTTCTGCCCACACTGAGTGGGATCATTCAGATGGCCACAGAAGGATGAACCATTCTTACAGGCCGGTGAGCAAACCTTTAAACTGACCCTAGAGTGGGCTGAAAAAAATGAGCACACCTCCAAACACACTCACACATTGACAGTCAATTAAACTGACCACTTTCAAAGACCTAATGGCATTTTTTTTGTTTGTATAAATATCGATTGAGTATTTAAATATCTGAATACATGCAACCTGCTCCATCATTTTGAGTCTCTAATAATATGTTTGTTTCTACTTCAAACCATCGCTAAAATATAATCATTTAAATGCTGGCTGTCAAAACCCTTGTCATCCTTGTTTCTCAACCCTTGAGAAAGTGGACCCTAAAACAAGTTAAAAAAAGTTTTAGACAAGAAAGAATTAGACAGTTTAGAAACTACTACTTTAAAAATAGGTTAAATAAATATACAGATATATATATCAGTTTTCCTAATATATTGTAATGATTTTATATGATTTAAAGGGGTCATATGATGTTGCTAAAAAGAACATTATTTTGTGTATTTGGTGTAATGAAATGTGTTTATGTGGTTTAAGGTTCAAAAAACACATTATTTTCCACATATTGTACATTATTGTTTCTCCTCTATGCCCCGCCTTTCTGTGCAACTTTACAGATCTTCTTTATGCACCAAGAGCTTGTAACACTTCAAAGAGAAAGGAAAAATTTAAATCGCATCATATGATCCCTTTAATGATTTTATATTTTATATATTACAAATAAATATCTGTATATTTACTTATTAATAATTTACCTGTTTTTGTTTTATTTTTGAGAAGTTTGTAAATTGTCTAATTCTTATTATATATATATA